TATATTTATAGTTAATTTTTCATTTGAAAACAATAATCATCATTTTTACGAATAAACATAAAATAAATTATTCAGAAAAATCATACATTACTTTTTGGTTGATGTTGTATATAATTATAGATCTATTCTGATGATATCAAGATCTATAACTATTGAAAGAAATTTCTAGAATACTATGCTCTGATTTAAATAGCACATTAACTTTATATTAATAAGAAATATACTACATATAAGGACAAGTAAAATGCTAACCTGAGTCAAAAAAAAAAGACTTCACCTAACTGGATTGTTGAATACTACGTTTCAATCCGATATAACTTATATCAATGCTGCTAATCTCAAAGAAGAACATATCAGACAAACATCATAAGAATGCTAGTAGACAAAAGCAGTAAGAGCATTTTGTAGCGTTGAAGTGTGATGAACAAGATGTTACAAGAATTTATTTTTTCAGATTTATTGTATATATTCAAACATTCAGATCTATCTTTTCCAGTATATATCATATTTTGACTGAACTATAGGAAAACTGCAATTCGGAATAGGCATCCTGCATCTGAAAGTATTTTTTCGCTAGAATCTTGCCTTCATTTTTTTGCTTTTAGCTAGGTACTTCATTAATCTTCATTTTTAGTCTTGCATTTTATGCCAAAATGAATATCGAGATTCAGAGCGAAAAATGCAAAACATTCTCGAATAAAATATATTATGAAAGCTGTTCGTTCTAATTATATGATCATATGCTATTTAAACCAAAGCATAGTATCATAGAGATCTCTTTCTTTAGTTACAGACCTTAGTGTCGTGAGAATAGCTTTACAATCATATACAACATTGACAAAAGGTAATGTTTGGTTTTTCTGAGTAATCTCTTCTATTTTTATTTGAAAAACAATGATGTATAAAGGATGGCCCAGAAGTTCTGTCTCGATTTGAATAATAAATTTTTCTTTAGTAAAATACGTAGTTGAAAATTTATCTCTAGGGTGAAAAGATGCAGTTAACCCTTTGAGTCCGAAAATATTTCTGCTGGATTCAATCGACGTCGACTCTCATATTATATTATTCCAAAACTTTCTCAATGAATAACTATATATCTCGTTTACAGATAGTTCGGGAGAACTCTAGAGCATTCTTTATTGCTTCATTCCAAGAGATTAGGTACCAATTTTTATAAATTAGTTTGTGAAAAATAATCACAAAAGATATGTAGCATTTTTGCTACTATCGAACTCAAAGGGTTAAACACGCTCTACAAAAGGACTTTTATTTGACCCTGCTAACTCTTAGAGTAAAAAAGTTATACGGTTAGAAATATATTTCACAAAAAATAAAAATTAACCGTGAAGTCTTCAGAGCTGAAACAGAAAATAGAGGACTGAATATGGCTTGAGCATTCAGTTCACTGGCAAAATCACTTTAAAATTAATTCTAGATTTCAAACACGTTTGCTCTACGCCGAAAAGTAGGGTTTCGAAAACTACAACCAATTCTGAACCCTTTTTAGATTACGTGCATTACTACGAAACTCTTCAAAAGACTTATCAAGGATCTAGGAAACTTTTTTAAGGATTTTGTACCAATACACGTAATCTAAAAAGGGTTTAGAATTCGTTGCAGTTTTCGAAATCCTACTCTTCAGCGTAGAGCAAACGTGTTTGAAATCTAGAATTAATTTTATAATGACTGTAAGTTGATTTTGTCAGTGAACTGAGTGCTCAAGCCTACTGAGTCCGCTATTTTCTTATTCAGCTCTGAAGACTTCATGGTTAATTTTTATTCTTTTGTGAAGCATATTTCTAATCGTATAACTTTTTTACTCTAAGAGTTAGCAAGGTCAATTAAAAGCTATTTTGTAGAGCGTGTTTTACTGCATCTTTTCACTCTAGAGACAAATTTTCAACTACGTATTTTACTAAAAAATAATTTATTATTCAACTCGAGACAGAACTTCTGGGTCACCCCTTATATGTTTTTAAAATGAAAAAATAACTATAAGTGTATCTTTTATTTTTAATATCATTAATTAATTGATAGTTATTTGATATTTCGCTCAATTGAAGTAACTTTGACAAACTTTTTTGTCGATGTTGCAACTTCGTCGATAGGCCTAAACTCGATATCATATATATATATTTTGTTTTGTTTTCTTTGACCGATGTCGCCATTGAAAATAATGATATTATTCTTCTCTTTTTCTCGTTCAAGATATCTCATATGATGAACACTGGCCATTATTGGTTGCTATACCTTTATTCTGATAACAAAAGAATAATATTTTGAGAAACTAAGAAGAAGTTTTGTTTGAATTTTTTCATATTGTTTTTCACGTTAGACCACATATAGAAAATAAACTGTCAAGAAGTTCGTTTCTTTGAAGATTAGATTGTCTATATACCTAGATCAGAACATAAACTCGTTGCAAATATTTATTGAATTCAATGTTAGTGTTTGACACAAGCATCTTAGACTATATAATTTGAGTCATTTGCTTGTTGTGCTAAATCATCCTTTTTATTGATTAAATGTTTTCGATGTAAGAATCGCCATATCCTTATTTTTTGTTGTACATATGACTATATGATTCAATAAATCGCTCTTTTGGTGCAATAGAATTGTTTGATTTTTGAAAAATTCACAGAGATCATTGAACAGTAGCAGCAGATATGCAAATTTATATATGAAATATTGCTGTTGTTTAATCACCAGTAACTAACCAAGACGGAAACAAGAGAGACCTCAATCTGAAAGTCTGTCGAAGTTTCTTGAAGTCTTTGAGCTGTAACGTTTGATATAAAATCTGATGCAAAAGCAATGGGACAAATGTCGACTCATATGTCTCTTTAATAGAATGGTGCTGAAAGAAAATTGTTTTTACCAGAAGATAGAATATTTTTCCTCTTTGGAATCATGTGTAACTTATTTTTATCGCACGTTCATAAATGAAACAATGCAAAAACAACGAGAAGTACCTTTCAAATCAGTCCACACTGTTCCTATAAATTACAGCACAATATATGGATGTGAAGTGCCATTGTAGCGATGGCTGTTCTTTTCTCACACACTTAAACTCACATCTATCCCACACACACATCCTAAATTAAAGTAAAGTAGATTAAAGCGAATTTAAATACTTACAATTTAATACTGATTTTCCAGACTAACATCATACACTGATGATGGTGATGCACCATTGTCAATCTGCGATGTTAGACTAAAAATCAATATTAAATTGTAAGTATTTAAATTCGCTTTACTTTATTTTACTTTACTTTTTCGAAGTAAAATAAAGATGAAGTGCTGGCCCTACGGGTGAATACTGTTGAGGTGGCTTCTTCGACCACTGATTCGATTTACCAAATAAGTCTTGAATGGAATTTTTTTCGACTGAAAATTTCTATAACGAAACATCAACGCATATGATTACATAGCTTCTATGCATGAGGGTGTGGGTGGGTGTGGGATGTGGGTATGGGTGTGGGTATGATCTTTTGATACTCTAGACACCCACACCCACCCTCGACAATTATTTTCGTGATGAAGAAGTACAGGTCGACCAACATGAGCTGGAAGTCTACTCAACGTTCTCGGATACAGTGACTTCTTATCGTTTAGCATGGAGATATTCGACTAATGAATATCGATCACAATAATTCAGGGGCGGCGAAATGTATAAATGGAGGAAGGCTTGACTTGCACCCAAATTTTACATTATTAGGTTCGGTTCCAACAGAATCCATTATGTTAAACAAAGACTAATGAAATTATGAACTGATGATTTAAAGTTTTTGAACAGGTTTTTTATTTTTGTTGCGAAGTAAAGGACGACAACAGAAAAATTTTATCATTAGATCTTAACAATTAGCAGCATCTTTTTATTGTTATCAATTCATGACAAATATAGATTGATTTAGGAACAGATCACTAATATGTACTTTGAGATGCTATATCATATCAACAATGAATGATTTGGATCAACTGATTAATCACCGTATTCTAATAACCTTTCCTAAGGTATATCTAAAAGGATGAAATTCGATCTAATGTTATATGGATACAACAATAAAATGAAAGTGTCTGAAGTCTACATAGATTTCTTTTGAGAAAAGAATTATGAATGAACCCTCTATTTTTCTCCATATATAGGCCCTGTTCTTATATGTAACCAATGGAATCATAACAGACAAACATATGACTCAAAAAAAAAATACGAGACTTTCTAATTTATTATGTAGAAGTCTAACCTAAACCAGTTTTCGAACAAAAGCAACTTTTCTCGCTTAATATTGTGCATGAGCATCCTGTAAAAATAATTCTTTTCAAATTCTTTCAAACCAAATATCAAATGAAATTTATTTCAATGAACAAAATCTGAATATATTATGCAACCATATAATCTATAGATTATTCGTTTTCAGTCAATGTAGCAATGTAAAATAAATTGTTGTTTGACCTCGACGATATATGTCATAGGCAGAAAGCAACAATTTAATTCGTCTGAAATATATCACTCCTAGAAAAATAACTATTGGAATTCTATACAACATATCTTATTGGTTGAACTGGCGAGTTTGACGACTATTGTTTGTTTTGCATATATAAATAGAAACAATATATCGAATGAACATATATACACACACACAAAATGTCAGATTATCTAAGTATTTTGCCTACTAAATTAATCGAATATATTTTCGATTATCTTTCCATCTTTGATATTCTTTCATCAATATATTTCGTCAATAAACGTCTTTATTCTATTTGTCTCATCTATTCTCATTTTCGACTTGATTTTAATTGTATAGCTAAAAAGAAAAAACAATTTGAATTTATTTGTAATCAAATTACCTAATCTGGCATCACGCATCTTTTCATTAGACTTTGAAGATGATGATAATCGAATAACAAATGCAAAATTCAATCGTTTTTTTTCTTCGATTACTATGAATAATGTTTTTTCAAATTTATATTGAGTTACATTGAATAATATCGATTCAAAGATGTGGAATTTGATTCGAACTCGATTATCATTATTTATATCATTAAAATCAATAACTATGAATTCTATCTGTGATTTAAAAAAATCGACACCAATATTAGTGTCACTTATTTTTCATGATATTCTATTTACTGTTAAATCATTGAAACATCTATATCTTCACGCATTATGTTGTGGAAATGAAATAATAACCATTTCATCATCTTCTTTAATACAAACATTGACTATTGAGAGTCTAACAGTAAAAGGTATTGCAATTAATTTACTTGAAATTTTTTCGATTGCACCAATGTTACGCCAACTCGATACGGAATTAATTAAAACTCAATTTAATGATATGAACATGATTTTTCAATCATCTATTTATTTACAAAAACTATCCATTACTAGCGGTTCTATGACTATGTTCAAAATAAAACATTTACTCTCATCAATGATCTGTCTTACTCATCTTAGTCTTGATGTCTATGTTGTAGATAATAATATGATTAATGGCAATGCATGGATACCACTAATGACTCGAATAGTTATATTTCAATTCATATTTAAAATTTCAAACGATATTAATATCGATCTTGATTCATTTCGTACTCAACTTTGCTTGAAGAAAAAAAGTGGTATGTAACATATGATCAAGGGACCGATATGTATCTTTCATTTCTCTATACAAATCCATATTTTAAAGACTATCAGTGTCCATATGTATATGGGAAGAAAACATTAATAGAATCAACTGGATTAGAACCAACAACATATCCATATGCAAAAAATCTCTTTTTCAATACTGAATTATCAATGCCAGAAATATATTTACGTCGAATGACTTATGCTGATACATTAATCATCGAAAATAATTTTAACAATTCACTTGAATATATCACCAGTTTTATCGATTTATCACGAATCACTAATTTCATACAAAGGGGATTGGAAACAAAAGTGTTAAATAATAAATTTGTAGAAATTCTTTATAATCTTCCACATTTACGTTCACTTGGTTTATATTTTTCAACTCTCATCTCACTTTTTGATCGACATTGGCCACGAATTATTAATCTTAACATGAACTTTGATCCAGATGATCAAATTGAATCATTATCATCAAAGCAAATTGATGCCCTTTGGTTTTCGTTTACTCAGTTAGAACAGTTAAGTTTTGATTGTCGAAGTGTTCGAAATCTATCAAAATTATTCAATACAATGACAATGACGTTATCGAATATATGCATTTGTCATTATGGTTATAGAAATAATTTAAATCGTCAAATGGTAACACGTCAATGGCTTGAACAAAATACAGAATTACGTCACTTTGAATATTTTCAAAATGATGAAAAAGTTTATATATGGCTTTAGTGTGTCTATGTTTTTTTTCTTTATATACACAAAAATTGTAATATTACTTTTCTCTTTTTCTTTGTGTCATGTTGTTTGAATAAATTGTTTAATATAAATGTAGAATTTCTTTTACTTAACCTTAAAGATATTATATCAAACTTGACTTGTCGAACAGGAACAAAGCAATGGCGGAGCCAAGAAGCAAGGAGGAGCTCATCTCTCCCCTGTAGTGAAACTTTTAATGTGTATTTTATTAGTTAAGCAGGCTTAAAGACCCATAGAGGAGGGACGCTTAGTCTACTCTAGTTCAAAATCCTAGATTCACTGCTACAATAAAGTTCGTTGCATCTTATCTGAAAATGTGTTATAAACTTTTTTGCATTTCAAAATAAAATGGATTTAATTGTTTGTTGAATGACTCAACAATACGGACGGCTATTGAACTTGGGTTTTCACCGTTAGAAAGAAGATGAAAGAGAGGTACAAGTCTACCTGAGAATCGAAATATTTGAAAAGTTTTCAAAGAATTTTCTAGAAAATCATCGTATGATTTGTTTGATTAGGTGTATGTTCAACTTCAATTTTGTCGTATTGTAGCTCAGTGTCTACTCTATAGACCCTGTAATGTTTAGATGTTTTCGACTCTTCCGTTGGTATTTACTGGACAAGCAAGTTACGAAATTTTGGCCTGAAAATTTGCCTATAGATAGGCCTAATGATTCATAGGATAGTCTGAAAGTTTTAACCAAAAAGGATATTTCTTTATCGAGATATTGAATTTCGAATAAAGTTGAATAGACGCTTAATCAATCTCATCAGACGGTGTTTTTTCAGAAAACAATTTGGTCTGAAGGTAAATTGGTTAAAAGTTTGAATTGTGAGCATCTTACATAAACTGTAAATATCTTAAAATTCGAATATCATCGTCCATGCACTCCAACAGTAGCTCGTATTTTGAGTTTATTAATTTGGCAATGAGATCTTTAATTTGATCCGAATATGTCTAATCTTATTAATTGACAATACAAACATCTCCAGTGTAAGATCAACTAATTCAACAAAATGACTCTTCCATGACAAATTCATCTAGAGAATTCTTTTATCAGACAAGATTTCTTCCAATATTAAATGAAACTTTTCAACAATCGAATTCAACTTTGATCTTTCGAATAAATATAGAATGAGCCAAAAGCAATAATACTGAAGAACAAAACTCGAATATCTTCACTACATGCTGACTAAAAAGGTTGGTTTTTTTGACCATTGATGAAAGAGTATTCATAGGTGATATGAACAAGAGAAAGATTCTTTTCAGCTATCGTACTTGACTGCAATAAACAACTAAACTTTGATAAGTTATAGAAAGTCATATTGAATTTTTCTCAACAAATTCTCATTGTTTTAATGGCTAAAAATTTTAGGATAAAATGAGTAAAGAGACATGTATCTATAATAGTAATCTCCGACCAAGCAACAATACTGTAGAGAATTAATAGAAAACAAATTCGGCATAATTTATTTTTTAACAAGGAAAAGATTACATAGCTTTCTTATAACTCAACAACGTTATAGTTGTTTATTACAGTCAAGGATGATACTTCAAAAGAATCTTTCTCTTATGCGTGTGACTTATAAGCACTTGTTTATCAATGATCAAAAAACTAATCTATTTAGACAATATATAGCGAAGATATTCGGTATTGTCACTTTTGAACCATTCTGTATTTATTTATTATCGAACGATTATCTAGATCAAATTAAAGAAGAATTCATTCAAATAAGATCGTACTGATTCTTGATCTTGCAATAAGAAAAAAGAAATCTTCATCTCACAGATTCTTTTCTATTTCGATGCAATTTCATTCTCAATCAATTTATCGAAAAAGATAAAAAAAGTTCACTCGGACGAATTTCTCATATTGACATCGTTCGTCTTGTTATTGAAGACAATGGTTAAGTACAGAAAAAAATTCAGTTATTTCGAAGATTGAAATCAATTGAACTCGTGTGAATTAATTTGAAAAGAAAGAATTTATTCAATAAAATTTAATGTTGATTGTTGAGATTCGAGAGATGTTTTACTTCAAGCAAAATTCCATTGTTTCAAATAATATTAGACAAGGATATGTAAATCTTTATTCGAATAGTTGACTATTTTATGACGATTGAAATCCACTTTTGACAAATGCAATTCCATGTCTCAAGGATAATCTAAAAATCAATCTCTAACCGATAGAAAATCATATTGCAACTGATACTATTCATATTAACGTTCATTAGCTAATTAATATAACTCTATAGATATCACAAGAATTCATTCTATCTACAAAACTAATTCATACTATAACGAACGACGAGATTCGACCAATAAACAGTGTACAAATGGCGACCAATATGAACGCAATGAATATCTATGAGTATGAAATTCATATATCATTACACACGTGACCACTGATAATGTCAGACACCGGAAAAAAAACATCACTTATATAACATACAGATGGTTCAAAGACAAAGAAAAACATCATTCTATATTCTATGAAAAGAATTTTTCCGACACGTAAAATACTATGACCAAAGAATCAGATCCATCCACCAAAATATGCCTATAACATATCTAAATTACAAGCTAGAAAAAACCATCCGCTTGATTGTCCTCCTTTTTTACATGCTCTATCCCACAAGGTTAAGAACAACTTCCAATTCCTTCAAATAACACCAGGTCATCAAGTACTTCTGAAGAAACTCGAAGTTTTATGCGACTAATCTCCAATCTTCGAAAAATGTCTTCTCGAACTGTAAAATCATTTGTAAATAGGTTTTACATGGAGTGATCAAAAAGTTCTCGGACCTCTTTTTATTTATTCAAAGAAACGACATTTCGTCCATTTCTCCACATTATATATTAGAGGTAGCCGTCTTAATATTCCTCGGGAGGTTTCATCCTTTTAACTCGCTTTTAAGGTTCCGTTCGAAGGAAACAATTTGAACTGACCGGCTATTGACGAATTTCACCGGCCTTTTGGGTCTTAAAAAAATTGAATAAATTTTTAGATGGCAACCAGATTTCAGGTGGTACCATTAGTGGCTAACAGCCTCATGTCTGCCATCAAAACATTGAATCGAAATTATTATCCGAACTTGGATTCAGAGGTGAAACTCATCCTTTGAGTGACATTAATCCGTAACAGTGTCGGAAACAAGAAGATATTCCAACTTTTGAACACATACGAGCTATTACTTATAGTGTAACCATTTCTATAGTGACTAGTAATACTACCTATATTAGTGATAAAGACCTAAATTTATTACTAGTTAATCTAGCCAACAGCGAAGGATGGCCATGGTCTATCACTCCATCAGTTTTCTCTGTGTTTTTTTGAGTAATAGATATGGTGACGTTAGTATCTGGTTTTAAGTGAGCAGAGTCAAGTTAGGACTCATCAGGAGTACTCAGCATGGACTGAACTTTCACATCCTTGGTATTATTGACAAATTCAAGATAGCCTAGATAATCAGCACCTGTAACAAATGATCAGGGGTAATAACCAAGAGGATCAATTTTATACCTATTGTTTCGAAGTAAATAGTACCACAGGAATGAGTTAAAAGGATGAAATTTTCTGTGGAATATCACGATAACTGCCTCTAATATATGGTGTAGACAAATGAACGAAATGTCGTTTCTTTGAACAAAATGCGATGAATTCCGAGAACTTTTTGATCACCGTATGTAGTTGATTTTTTTAGTTTTTCTATGATGAATAAGGAAAAATGAATATACAGCTGATAACGTAAAAATGAGAGTTATTCGGTTAGTTTGCAACGCAATAGCAAGATATTGGGCCATCTTGTCCCCTATGGAATTCCAAGAAAAGTCTAATGTAATGAGTGTTTGCATAGACAGAAGAACATAGATATGATGGAGAGAAAGAGAGAATAATGATCACCGTTTGGTATCGTAGTGTAACAGCGAGATGTTGTGCTCCTTCGACTCCAAATTGATTCCAAGAAATGACCAATGTGTTCAGTGTCTGTGTTGAAAAGAGAAGATAAATATACAAAAGATGACTAGGTAATAACCATCATCTCATTAATCATTAAGATATCTGCAAGATGCATTCTCATTTGTTGTCTTTCTGAATAATAGTACCTCTCAAGAGTTTTTTCTGGATTTTACTAATCTCAGGATTTATCTTAGAATCAAATGTGAAGAAAAGATTGATGTTGAGGTCCAATTCTTCAAGATCATGGTATTTTTTTGGTATTTTAAGAATATACAGTATGCTATTAGAAAATGAATTTAGAAGTTTGAAGAAATCCAATAAATCCATAAAAAAATTCCATAGTTCTTCTCTGTTTGAAAAATCAATTTTCGTTCGTATTATTCGAAGATGATGAACGAAGAAATAAATTTATGTAATCAATATAACGTGTCTCAATGTCTTCACGCGTCAAATAAAACTGTTCTAGACTGTAAGTGTTACGACCTTGCTTGCTTTGAGGATTATCGCGACGCCAAGCATACATTGCTATTTCGAATTCATTCGACTAACGTAGACCGAAATAGTCATAAATATGACGCACAATACCAATTGGGTTTTTCGTTAAATCATCATAAACAATATCAACAATAAGACCCCACCCACACTCCACCCTGTAGGTAAACTACCAGTTATGTCTAATGGAATTGTATGCAATGCATCAAATAATATTGTAGTAGCTCTGTCATTTAATGACGCATGACGATTTTTAATTTCATTTTTAAATCGAATGATGTGAAGTCGATCTGGATCAGGAACGTGAGAATGTTCAAAGGATTATTTAATTAATACTTCCATTTGGTTATTTGTTTGACCACGACCAGAAAATAGCATAAAGAAAAGTTGCAAAATTAGATTTAACGTTTTATACTTACTTCTACAGTTCCGATCTTCACAACAAAATAAACGTTTTTCTTCTGTTATTTGATGCTGAGTATATAAGCATCCCGAAAAATCTATCATTGAATTTCCTCG